CCATCTTCCATAGAGCGGGGGGGGACACTAGGGCTCAGGACAGAGGAGCTTGCAGCAGCTGCGGTCTCAGCAAGCTGATCTAATTAACAAGGCAATGTACTTAAAGGGGAAATGCGCATATCTCCCTCCATTCCTGCTGCCTTGTAGAGTGAGAGAGTTAACCCTGGAGGGCTCAGCCAGTTGGTAGTTCATCATTTAGCAGTAAGGAAATATCCCATCCTCTGACTCCTCCACCTCAACCAAGCTTCACAATCATCATCACTGTGTACGAGTATTAAATTGTTTGTTTAAAACTTATACTGTGTGTATATATATATGTAATATAGTCTTTTGTCTGGTGAAAAAAATTTCCCTGGAACCTAACCCCCTCATTTACGTTAATTCTTATGGGGAAATTGGATTCGCTTAACATCGTTTTGCTTAAAGTCACATTTTTCAGGAACATAACTACAGCATTAAGTGAGGAGTTACTGTGCTGGATCAGGTTATTACCTGAGTGTCTTAGCTTTCATTTTTTACAAAGTAAGTGTCTAGTTCTCCTGGTGTCAGCTACAAAATGTGAATCCTACATGTCCCAAGATCAGAAGGAAAATAATAAGAATCCCAAATTTATTGTTTTTTCCCTTAAATCTCATGATTTTTTAAGCCAGTCTTGTGAATATTGGGGCCTGACTCATGTTTTTTGAATGCTTGGGTTGGCAATAGTGTACTCATAATGGTATAGCGATTGTACTGACTCCGGTCAACTCTACAGCCACACATGGGCCAGAGGAAAAGATGTGTTTTACAGATTCCCAAGTACACAAATAGCATACAGAAGGCCAACATTCCCCACTCTTGATGAAGAGACCACGTGCCTCCAATTACTCATGTTTCGTTAATTACAGAGCTACTTAATCTAAATGCAGTAAAAGCTGCCTTAGCGACCACCTCTGAAGAGAGACCACCTGTCATGAGTGACCACTTACAGAGGCTATGGAATGTTTTCCCCCTATAATTTAACTATGAAGAATCTGTGAACAGTAACAACCTGTCATCTGTGACTAGCGACCACATTTCCTTACTCCCTTCCGTAAAAACAAACCTGTAAGAGAAACCAATCTTCCTTACTTCTGTGCTGCTGCTGGCGGCGGCGTTGCCTTCAGCGCTGGGTGCTTGGCTAGCAGCTGCTGCTCTCTGGCCACCCAGCTCTGAAGGCAGAGCAGAGAGCAGCAGTTGCTGGCTGGGTGCCCAGCTCTGAAGGCAGTACCGCTGCCAGCAGCAGCACAGAAGTAAGGGTGGCATGGCATGGTATGGTATTGTCACCCTTACTTCTCTGCTGGCACTGGAGTGGCCTGCAGAGCTGGGTGCCCAGCCAGCAGCCCCCACTCTGCAGCCGCCCAGCTCTGAAGGCAGCGCAGAAATAAGGGTGGCGATACCACAAACCCCCTATAATAGTCTTGCAACCCTCTTTTGGGTCTGGACCCCCAATTTGAGAAATGCTGTGTACTTTTGTATACTTTGCTGTTCTACTGTATTAATAAACACCAAGAGATTTTAAATACAGTACAGTACTGTATTGTATACTGTATGTAATGTTCATTCAAAAGGCGATTCAAATTAAACGTGAAACATGGGTAATAATAGTAGTCTTTTTCTACATCATAAAAGTGTCCATTTTACAGCAAACCTTTGAAGAGAGACCACCTCTTACAAGTCACCCCTTTTGCTAACTCCCATGAGGTGTCGCTCTTGGCACGTTTTACTGTATGCAGCCTGGAGGTAAAGAAAGTCTTTTCCATAAAGTGCTAGCTGCAGTGGAGAACGTTTGTTCTCAACCAGTCACCAAATTGTACAGAGGGACAGAGTAGCCACAGGCTCGATAAGCAAAAGAATTGGGGAAAGGAGTAAAGGGCCATGAAGTGGGCCAGAGCCAGGCGATTGATCTTAAAAGGAAGGAGGGCACGTTTGAATTGTGGAGGTCTGAATGAGTTGGGATTAATGGCAAAGTTCATCTACAGTTTTCTTGGCAATGTAGTGTGTAGGTGAAGGGTTCTACTGCTTTACCCTGTACAGAGAGAATTTCAAAGCTATAAATGATAGTTAGATACCGAACTCCCATTGACTTTTCGTTGGTGCCTTAATTCCATGTGTGCCTTTGAAAATCTCCCCTGCCGATTGTGACCCACATTTTAGATTGTATGGCACAATCCATTCAACACCGGGATTCAGGTAGCAGAACTGACTATCAGAATACAAATTTGGATTCTAACAAAGTTCAGGAATTTCTAATTAGAATATTTATGAATATAATTTTTTTATATTAAAGTGGCATGGCTGGTAATCCCACCTATTATTAAAATTACATAACACTGCCCATTGCGAGACTCTGTGTTCAGTAGCTTAGTTGTGTTTATGTTAAACACTTTTGCGCGCGCACTTAGATGTATAACTTGTATTAGTTACGTGTCCATTAAAGACTGGCTGATACAGCCAGTATTCCACTGTATCCAAAATTTGGGTTGGTGAACTTCAATGAGAGGAAAACAAATGAGACACAAACATGAAACATTTTGTGAAATGCCATCCATAATGAAATGTTGGCCCTTTGCCCACCTCTACTCCAGTATACAATGAGGTGCATTTATTTCTATTTCAAATTGTTGCAGAATCGTTTAAAATTAAAACAATTGAAGCTTTTTTGTGATTGAAAACAATCTTGTTTGTCTCCTGATTTGTTTGTGTTGCTCAGTTATGCGCTGAAGCTCAGAAATGAAATATGCAACAAATGTAATTAATGTAATTGGACCAAGCTGTACATGTGACCCATTGAGAAATCAACATATTTTTCATACTTGCATTCAGACATTTTAGCACAAAGCATCATTTTTTGACCCATTCTTGCACATTTTCAAAATCTTACGACTTTGCCGTCTGTAACCCCTTGAAAAAGCGGTTATGAAAATTTGAGACGATACCAGAAGGGTTGTGAAATGATTTCTAAGAAAGAGACATGTTCACTTTCCTAGTAGAGAGGAAGATACTCCATTGGTTACAGCATTAACTTAGGACTTTGGAGCCCTGGCTTCAGATTCCTGCTGTGCCAGAGACATCCTTTGTGACCTTGGACAACTCATTTACCATCTCTTAGCCTTGGTTCCCCATCTGTAAATGAGGATAATACCTCACAGGGGTGTTGTGAAGATAAATACATTAAAGATTGTGAAGTGCTCAGATACTATGATAATAGGTATGGGATAAGTAGATAAAATAGACAGACAACATGTAGCATGTTTTGCACCAATTACCAGGTCCAATTCCAACCTGATGATGATGTAACCCAGCAACACATAATAGCTAAAAGCAAAATCTCCTATCATTTTAGACAAAACCCTGGGCTTCAAGGCAGCTGGGATGGGCTGCCAAGTCAGTATATATGTACCACACAGAGATATGCCAGTACCTATGCAGTACAGTGATTGGCACCCTCTAAATACCTAAATTAAATAGAGTAAGATAGATCCTTTGATTTCTGGACCTCTGTAAGCAGAAACTCCTAATCTAGAAATGAATTAACTCCAGACACACAACTGGTTACTACACAACAGTCTGGTGTGCTTAACATGCATATTAAGTGAGATTGAATCCAATATATCTATTTTTCTTGTCCATATTGGGCTAGGTAAGTGATGAACAGACCCTGCCATTTTAGCCTTTGGCTGTACACTTTAAAAATGTAATGCTTTTTAAGGCTTGATCCTGTAAAGGGACAACTTGTGCAACTAAAATTAAGCACAGGCCTCGGTGTTTGCTACTCAGGACTTAAATTACATTGATGTTTTTGGTGTGTAACTGTTGCGGCATTAGTGAGTGATGGGACCCAAAAAAGTCTAACCAACTGTTTTCTTCTGCTAGAGATCTCGTAATTGGGGGAACTTTTCTGGTCAGTTCTTTGCGTATGCAATTGCCCTGACAGTTGCAACAGATGTTGGATAACGGCATCTTGACAGTTGCTGAAGCATTTTAGCAAAGAATCACGGCAATTTACCTTTTCTAGATCAGCTCCAGTATTTTTTTAGAACCCATCCCCGTAGTTCCCTCCTCTCATAGCTTTGTTAAGAGCACACAGAGAAGACAGGAGGATAAAATAATGGGGTCTGCCAGTTTTATTTTCCTAACCGAGCGTAGCTTATTTTCTTTACCAAATGTATAAGCATCTATCCTCTGGTAACATGTCATAGTTGTTGACTTGTGAACATTGTCCTATGATGATCCCACTGTACATTTAAATATAAAATGGTAGGGTGAAAAAATATGCCTTTTTAAATTCCTTTTCCTTCTTACACTTCCTTTTAAACAATGAAGAACCTGTACAGGGATCATTTTGTTTTCATCACCAATGTGATGACTGGAACAACGTTATCTGGTGGTTCAACATCTTTCTTGGTGTATGGGAGAAAGAAGATGGTATGTTTATATGTAAATTGTATCAGGCCAGATCCTGAGCTGGTGTAAATTGATTTCAATGGAGCTGTGCCAGCAGAGGATCCGGCCTTTAGATTTAATTTTTCTTTATATAGGGTAGTGTTAAAGAATATTTAATATGTGTATCCAGTCACAACCTAACTGGTCATTTCTTACTAGACAGAATCATTGGAAAACTCTCCCTTAATAACGTAGATACTGTTAAGAAGCTTACAGTCTGCCCTGGTGAGGCATGGACTTGTTGATCTAATGGATTTAACAGGGTCTTCAATCTCAAATAATAATGAAAATCTTCGCCCTTACTGAGTACTCATCCAGTTGATCTCAGAACACTTCACAAAGTATCATTATCCCTAGTTTTGCAGATGGGGAAACAGAGGCATAGCGAGGTGAAGTTATTTTATCATGATCAGTAGCAGGACTGCTGGATCATGCCATTTCCCCTAATTTCTAGGATTCTGTGTTGTTCCTTTATTTGACTATTGCTCCCTCCTTCCCCTTTCAAATGAATGTTTTCTCTATGCTTTGATTTCTAGCTGATTTTTTATTATGGAGTTGCAGACAACTGGTGCCCACAACAGTATTTTGAAGAGATCAAGATGGATTTTCCGGATGGGGACATTCGGCTCTGTGAGAAGGGAATCCGCCATGCTTTTGTCCTAGATGCCAGCAGAGAGGTGGCGGCGATGATCACAGACTGGTTACAAGACATTCTGACCAGATTATAAACACTCGTTCAGTGAATAATGACAAGAAAAAAAAAGTTGCCCTTTGGTGAATGTGTAATTCTCTGTCAGAGTCTGACCCTAATTTTTCTGTGCATTATAGATTATGGCTTGTTTTCTACTGAGACATCTTACAGAAGGATAAAGTCCCACTGACTGGTCTAAAGTATAGCTCCATCAGCACAATAATATTGGATCCCCATGCTGTACCAGCAGGGCTCTACAAGGCATTTCAGGGATTCTATCAAATATAGATCAGGACTTTACAGAGTATGAAATAATTATCAGCTGATAGCACTGTCCCCAAAATTGGTATGAGAACTACCAAGACATCTCTCTGGACACATGGCTGGTAAGTGCTAGAAGAGCTACACGTTCAAAATGAGAGCAGGGAAAGGACAGACCTAAGGTCAAAAGTCTCAAAGTGGAATGTCTCAAGTTAAATAGCTAAATCCATATTCATCCACTTACATAAGTGGCGTGGTTCTCAGAGGTACTGCACACTCACTGCGGTCAATGGGAACTGCAGGTGTTCAGCACCTTTAAAAAATCAAGCCACTTTTGTCATGTGCCTAAATATAGATTTAAGTCCCTAACTCTAGAGGGATGCAAGATTAACACTTTTGACCCAAATGCACAAGTTGAATGAATTCACAATAAGAAAATGGCCAACATTTCTGTCACAACTGGATGTGCATATGAAATTTCATGAACCATTTTAAAACATATAGGCCCAGATCCTCAGATGATGTAAATAAGCTCCATCAGTTTGTCAGTTTGTACCAGCTGAGGATCTGGTCCTTACTCTAATACATTACTGATAAATACACTTCATCATCCTCATGCACACTCCTTCGCCCTTTTATTTCACTTCAATCTAGATTGCAAACAGTGCAAAAAAAAAATCTATCGTGAAAATGACTCAAAGCTAAGAATGAAAACTCTATAGGCATTGGGAGCAGAAATTGCCAAGAGAGACAAGTGGAATCAGGAAAAATGTCCTAACAGTGAGATTGTGAAATAGTCTCTCAAAGGAAAAGATATGAGCGCAGTCCCCAGAGACACTTAAAAATAGAAAAAGCACTGGATAATATAGTGTAAGGAGCAATCCTTCCCTGGCAGGGAGATTGGTGACCTAATATGTCTTTTACATCTCTGACTTGTATGATCCATTAAGAATTTAAATAAGGCACTAGGGGAGATGATAAGGAAGTCCTGTATGATGCAGGAGGTCAGACTGGATAACCCAAGAATTCTCTTCTTGCTATTCCTTTATATGATTACACACACAGTCATTTCTGTTTAAGTTCCTTTGTGGTATTTAAAGGCAAACTGTAGCAGAATCCAATTTCCAGTTTTCTGTGGACTTGTCTTCAGAACTCCAGGGTTGTATAACATCTGGTACACCAATGAATTTATGGATGATGTTTGTGAATGATGTTAATGAAACAGAAGATGATGCTTAAGGTTGAAATGTTAGGCAGTCTGTAGTAGCATAAGTTGAGTGTGTGTGAGGCAATTGTCCCAGACTGTTCTGTGAAACTAACCCGGTCATGGTTATTACAAGCTCATAGAAGCCGCCTTCTCTCAGCAGGACCATAGTGGCGCAATAGAATATATGTTGTTGCCTTATATGGTCATAACAACTGCAACAACAAAAATCACTGTGCCCAGTTTTGAAATCTACAGTTATATGTGTGATCAAACAGCCCCCAGATGCTGATATGCAGTCATTTTAGATGTTCTTTCTGCTGCGGCTTCTGAACCCATGTTCTGGCATAGATATTCCATGTGCAGGGTGAAGCATATATATGTATGTTAGCAACAAATGTCAGCATTGAGTTCAGTAGATTCTTCTGTAATTACGTGTTGATATGATTGAATAAATTGTTCATTCCTTGCAGTATATTGAATTGAATAGCTGGGTATGGAATCAGTTTGTAAACATTCAGCTGTTTTAAGTGGCCCTTCCAGAGGTAGAAAATCTTGCCGTAACAAGAGACTACAAGCAACCACTGAAGCCTGGAAACTGAAAACCTATGGTGTACTCTTGTTCACAGTGTATTATTCATATACAGAAGATGGGGAACTGACTTCACAATACATGAACTTTGTGTATTCTTTTTATATTGTTCCTCTCTTGTGCCCTGTTAAACGATGATAGTAAATCCCACTGAATGCACTGAGGCCTATCATGTGGGTAGAGATGGTCAGTAACAGCCAGATCTGCTGCTGAATAATCCCTTATGACTTTATTAAATCTGTTTGCTCTAAGGCTAATGAGAATTTTATGAATCAATCAATTCCTTCCTCTTGGGAGCTGATTCCGCATGGTTGAAGTCTGGAAATACGCTACTCTGCTCAGTGCTAACAAGAAGGGGCCTAGTTTTCAGAAGTACTGACCCCCATCTCCGCCCCGCACCTCTTGTTGAAGCCAATGGGAACTAATCAGCACCTCTGAAAATCAAGCTCTATGTGTTGTGCTGACTGATCTGATCTGCAGTATGAGAAATATTATTCTTTTCACGCTGAGAGCAGCAGGCTTTTCACCAGGAAAATCCAACTCCTCTGGTGCTAAGAGGTTAGCCAAGATCCGAGGCACAGAACTTCAAAAGAGAGCATGGGTCAAACATGCCAGTTTAACTGTAAGAATACAGTAAAACCTTGCTAATTTGCAGTAATGACTGGTGACCGATTGTAAATGAATTAATTTTGTGAATTAGGCCCTGATCCAGTCAAGCTCTAAAGCTCATGTTTAACTCGTGAACAGCCCCATTAACTTCAACGGGACTTCAGCTGATGCTTAAGTGCTTTGCTGAGTAAGTATGAGATGTTGCATATCTAAAGGTAAACACAAGGTAAGTGTTTTGCTCAATTGGGGCCTTTTGGAGAAAGTGAGCAAACACAATCAGAAAAGTACAAACATTTCTAGCAAAATGGACTTGCTTGTATTTTGACATCAATTAATTGGTTTTAATTCTCCTACTTCATAACCTAGTGCCTGCAGAATTTCCAAAAACTACTGCCTGACTTAGGAGCCGAATTCCCATTTTCAAAAGTGACTTAGGCACATAGGAGCCTACATCTCAGTGAAAGTCAAATGGATTTAAGCTCCTGAATCACCTAGACTATTTAGTCTTTGCTGTCGACAGCACCTCTTTGTATGTGTTATAGTATCTGTGGTTTAGTGAGATTCCGCTATATAGGAGAAGTTTGCCTGATATGTGTACAGCTGTTATAGTGGAGATTTTGCACTGGGACATGAAGCTAAGCAGGGAGGACTGTGTAGGTACACACACAAAGCAGAATCTGTCCTCTACAGTTGTTCACATTTACATATTTAATTTTTCAGCGAATCAGTTCATATTTGCATCTTTTCTTCATCTTTTCTTCCACCACCCAACACCCGAAGCCTAGCTAGCCTACAAACAAACACTCTGAATAAGAGACAAAGTTTTATTGTTAGCACAGTTGCTCAAAACATTATTGGATTTGTGTAAACCTGCTGGATCCAGGAGACTGTCATGTTACTCTCAGTGTCACAGGTCACGCTCAGGCTCACAATTACAGTGAGGTTCTGCGTCACTTCGCTCACAGCAAAACATTCTCTTTCTCAGCGTTTAGACAAAATAAGAATCCAGGGAGAGTTTGCGAGTGACCAGGCACCATTAAAGCAGCATATATTGCTAGAACAACTGATGGGATTTTAGTAAAAGCAAAAACTGTAGCGGCAGTAAATACAATCCGGTTGCCAGAAGTGATTGTTGCTCAAGGCGGCATCACGCAGAAGTTATGAAACAGGACAATTCTCATGCACAAGTGGGACAGAGGAAGAAAAAGCCACTGCCTTTGCCTTGAGAGTGCCTCAATTAGAGATTATTTTCAAGTGTTCAAGCTGATGCTAAGTGAAGTGGATTTTTCCATTTCGTATATTGCACAAAAGTACTTGCAAGAAAATAATTGTGCTGCGGTTTCCTACCAGTTTGCAGAGGCTAATAAATATAGCATGTTGTTTAAAACATATGACTCATTTTTCAATGTGTAGTTTGTTGTTCAAATCCTTGCTGAAAAGTTCTCCACTACCCTCTATGAAGAAACTCAGAGCGTAAAAGACAGCTGGAGAATGCTCCTTATTTTTCCTATTCACTAAAATCTCGATCTAACATCCTTTAAACCCCCCAACCTCTCAAATACACTACACTATACCCAATCTTCACAAAAATCCTTCGGTATGCAGGCCACATGGAATGGAGTTTGGCAGGGGGAGGGGCAATAGAGGCATTCCCAATGCCAGTGCCCAGTTTCTTGTTTTTATTGAAGGGAGAAATCTTTTAAAATTGCCAACAATGTTTTTGTGCCAACTACACTTGTTGTTAGGAGGAATAATGTTCACAGTTTGAGCTGTTCCTATATAAATGTTTACTTCATCTATTGTTCCTTCTGTATGGGTCCCTTTCCACTAGCAAAACAGGTGAATCTACACATAAGAGATCAGACAAGTGTGAAAGTCAAAGGGATATCAAATGCAGATTATTGGTCAAGGACCCACTCCAGCGAATCACTTAAGCATGTGCCTAACTTTAAGCATATGAGTAGCCTCCTGGAAATCAATGAGATCATTCAAGTGCTTAAAGTTACACACGTGCTTAAGTGCTTTCCTGAAGTGAGGCCCAGGATAGGTGGCACCGGGTAAAAGTCCTTTTACATGCTAATCTTTCTTATCTCTAACTTACAGCAGACGTGAGTGAAGATTTTAAAAGAAAAGGAAAACAAGTTATGTGGCTCACCAGATGGGGGTTTCCTTCTGTTATCATAACCCTATGGGCTTGCACCAGGCAATTTCCAAAACAGGACAGAGCCAAACACAGCGACATTCCTTTGGAAATTTCCACTTTGTGGGAGAGAAAATTGAAGTACTTGCATAAATGAAACAATGCCCAGGTAATATTTAACCAGTGAACATAGACTGAGCCGTACCTCCTGTGCTATACTTTGTACAAAAGTCCTCCCAAATCATCTCCCCAGACATCTCTTGGGGTTTACTAAAATGTATAGAACTGCATGGGGTATGACAGGAAACACTCCTGTTAAGTCTCCACATGGATATAAGAGCCTGATCAGAAGCCCATTAAAATTAGCTGCAGTCTGGAAAATGCCAGCATTATAAGAGTTAAATACTTCAGGCAAACTTCTAGTGTCTGATCTGCATATGTTTCTCTCTGGCTTTGAAAAGTGATGTTGGTCTGTTGTGAATGAAACACATATCTGATGCCTTTCAGGATTTTTCCATGCTCCCAAATGTGCCTTACTGCAGATAAATACGCTTACAATATTGTAGATGGTAAAGTTCTAATAGGAGGCATTTTTAGTAATACACCACTCTTTCATCTTGTGTAAATCACTGAGCTGGTGTCCATTTTATGAACACAGGTTAGAACAATTCATTCTCTACACCTTGATTTTTCTGGCAATTGTGTTTATGCAACTATTTCACCAAATATAAATGTCCCACTGAAAACACATGCAGCAAAGATTCTTGCATAGATATTGGACAATCCCTTAATGAATGTAGTCCCCAGAAAGGAAAACAAATCCTACGAAAACCTTTCCTAACTCATGCATCCCATGAAATTAAAAGTTAACCTAAAAAGGATTTTTGAAAGGGCTTTGCCAAAATAGCTTTTTTATTATGTATAAAAGGAGCCTGACATTTCAAAAAATAAAAATGAAGAAAGAAGAAATAATGAAGGAAGACCAAAATCCAAAGGATGCTTAATTATAAAAATTACTTAATACAAAATTTGCTGCCTAAATACTATGTGATCTAATGTCTACAAACTATCACTAGAGCTGGTCAAAAAATTCCCAAAGCAATTCATTAATATTTTTTTTCCAAAATGTTTCCTTTTTTTTCCAAATTTTGAATTCAAAATTTCATCAACATTTTCAAATTCAGTTTGTTTTGATCAGTTATTTAAATCATGCATATTTGTCCCCTGGATATCATTGGCATTGTATCTGTGTGAAAAATAAATTACAGAGCCATGTGAGGGATGCAGTTGTCAGTCACGTTTTACTGTCACCTGCACTCTGCCCCCTCCTTTGGGACAGCTGTTAACATTTCTAGACTCTGAGCAGTCTCCAAGAGTTGCCTTTTGTCAATCAGCCATAAAGACATTTCCTTCTTTCCCCCTTCCTACTCTTAACAGGTGTTAAGGCTTAATACCGTGAGGTGATAATCATCCTAGGCCTAATACATCTAGGCACATAACTTCATACGAGGGGGACTACTCGTGCTTAAAATTAAGCACGTACTTGGTCATTGGCTCCACAGGAGCCAATGTGATTGGCACCTTGCAGGATCGAGCCTTCAGTGAGAGCATGACTTGGCCTAAGGTTGGTAAGGGTGACAGGGAAAAACTCAGTTTTACTCTCAGGGCCTTATTTTCACTGACACTTGTGTAAATCAAGAGTAACCGCAATGAAATCACAAGAGTTACGCTGGTGGAAAACTCCTATAAGTGGGAGGAGTATCCAGGTGCGTAGAGTCCAGTTCAAGGGTGGGAAGAGCATTAGATGCCCAACTCCCATTGAAAGACAATGGAGTTGGGCCCTTAAATTCCTTTTTTGCCACCCTTTCTCATACCTGGCTAGCGTGTGCTCTCCAATCTGCCCTGAGTAAGAGGTGGGGTATAGCTACACCACCCAGAGCACACAAGATGACCCCTCACGTGGGTCATCAGGGTTTGAACAGGTGACATTCAACATCACAGCACAACCATCTACTGTTTGAACTAAAGGAGTAATCCCTTTAGACCCTGAGCCACTTCCCACTAAAGTCAGTGGAGAAGCTTCTATTGATTAATTGCTAGTTGCCTGTCTAGTAGCCAAAGTAGGTGGGCCGTTATTAGTTGGAGACCAGACAGCAGGGATGTGACACACCCTCGTTGCTCTGCACATTTATATAGAACAGAGTTTGGATTAGAAAGGAAAAAGTAGTTAATTTTACATTGCATTTGTTTTTGCTTTTAATATCCTAGATAAACCAGGAAGTGCAGACGCTTTAGCGATACAACTAGACCAGTGAAGGATGTTCATAACCAAACGTACTCCATTTTTCAACACCCACAAATCCTCAAAAGGAAGAAAACTTTTCAGAAAAACATATCCATAAAATATTTAATAAACTTAGCTGTACAAAATATTAAAAAGGTTAATGAAGAGTATACAAGAATGCTTATTTAACAAATATATACTGCTATAAAATATATTCAAGAAAATATAGATTGCTGTTTACAGTTCATTTACAGTTCAATATGTACAATTCTATTTAAACTTTAGAATACATACACACAATGCATTTACACCATCAGTTACAGAACTATCTTCGGTAGAAACATATCACGTAGTCAGATCTGGAAAAGGTGAGCAAAATGAATGTATAGTTTTGGAGGCATATACAGGGATATGAGAGAAAATACTGTTTAGAGAAAAGGGGTTATACAAGAGGTACATACAGGAACAAGGACCCCCCAGGTTGTTTTTTAGGCCTTCTTTAATCAGAGAAAAAAACATAAATAAAGCTATGGCTGATCAAGACAGAGTCTTATTTTGCTGCAAATATTGTGTTCTTACTTGAAAGAATGCAATTGCAATGATAGTAAATTCAGTAATGGAGCAGGCTTGGATGAACATTTCTCTTGGGGTCATTAGAAATATGGAGCAGGTGGAGGGGTGTTTTCTGCAAAAAAAAAATGCATCACATTCTTGCTCAGGGGAAAAGTCCCAAATTTCAAATATGTAACAGCATGAAATTTGCCCCAAAATTTTCAGCTGAAGTTGTTAACAAACAGACTTCAGCCACTTTTATTCCAAAATAAGAGTGTCCACACACCGACACGCACCAAAAATAGCTAAATTGGTTTTAGGAGACAGATGTAGTTAAATGGGGGAAGGCTTGTGAATAAACCCAGCCCTAAGTGTATGCTTGGAAATGTTGGTCTTTATTCTTTTTAAGTTAAGAGGGAGAAAACGAATGATGCATTGGAGAATCCCACCTGACTTTCCAAACGTATAGGGCGTATAGGCTTTCTTGAAGTTCATGGCAAAACTCCCAATAGGGCCAGGATTTTAACCCATGATCTGATTCTGATCGTTCTTACATTGGTATAAATCAGGAGTAACTCCGCTGAAGTTAATGGAGATACACCAGGGTACAACTGATGTCAGATCCGAATCAGGCACTTTGGCTTCCATTCAGCAGAGCATCCCTATTCAGCAAAGCACTTAAGCGTATGATTAATTTTCAGAACACGTTTAAATCCCACTGACATCAGATTGCTTCAAAGTTAAGCATGTGCTTAAGTGCTTTGCTGCTCAGGGTCATAGTGTTCCTGTTTAGCATGCTCTGTGAGTTCTAACCCACCCTCTGTCTTTGGTTATGAGAAGCCTTCCACGCCTTGAAAAATCAGGCCCCCAAAATATAAAAATATGCTAGAAAGTAATGATGAAGAAAGACAAGGCACAAATCCAAACCATTGAAAATGAAATGCCGTTCGGCCATTACTGAGATCAAGGTTTGGTTTACAACATTCAAAACCAAACTATTTAAACACCATCTAGATTTGCAATACTATTTTTAATTCCCAAATTTCTACCCTATTTCATCTGGTCATAGTTTCAGTATAATTGTGAGCCTGATTCTGATCTCCTTTGCACCAGTCTGAGTCAGGCCTGTCTCCAATAAAGTAAATAAATTTACACTGGTGGAAAACCACTGCAGGTAAGGAGCAAATCAACCCTAGTACTCCTAAATAGTCTTTAAGTATTAGAAATCGAGTTCTAATAATGGCTGAGCGCTCCCAAAGCTTTGTAAAATGCCAAGTTCTGCCTTTCCACTCTGCCAGCGTGACTGTACAGATCTCTATTTATTCCCCAATACTGAAAAGGTGACCATTCAACCCT